CCCAAGGACTTCCCCAATGCCACAATTGATTCCTCAACTGGCATAGGATTCTCAGGGTTAGCCTCAAATCCTTCAGAATCCCTTTGGTCTACACATTCTGGCCACAGTTTCTTCCAAGCAGAGTTCAAGGTCCTCTTAGTCACTCCCTCCCAAGCCTTACCTATAAGGTTTACACAATTGAGGATATTAAAGTGCTCTCTCCAAAACTCTCTTAGAGTCAATTGAGTTTTTGAGGTCACTACAAACAGAGCTTTTGTGTACAGTTTTTTGAAGTTTGCAATAACCTGCTGGTCCATGGGCTGCAGGAGAGGAGTGGTATTAGGAGGCAAAAACTTCACCTTAATGAAGCTCATGTCCCCAGAAAGTCGCTCTGCCAAGTCTGTAGGATGACCAGGGGCATTGTCTAACACCAGGAGGCACTTAGGGTCTAATTTCTTTTCAGTTAGGTAATTTTTCACAGTGGGGGCAAATGCTTGGTGTAACCAGTCATAGAAAAAGTCCCTAGTGACCCATGCCTTATTGTTTGCCCTCCACAGCACACACAAATTAGCCTTGAGGATATTCTTTTGCCTGAATGCTCTGGGAGTTTCAGAGTGATACACTAATAAAGGCTTCACTTTGCAATCACCACTAGGATTGGCACACATGAGAAGAGTAAGCCTGCCTTTCATAGGCTTATGTCCTGGGAGTGCCTTTTCCTCCTTAGTAATGTAGGTCCTGCTTGGCATTTTCTTCCAAAACAGGCCTGTTTCGTCACAATTAAACACTTGTTCAGGTTTCAGTCCTTCACTGTCTATGTACTCCTTGAATTCATGCACATATTTTTCAGCTGCTTTTTGGTCCGAACTGGCAGCCTCACCATGCCTTATCACACTATGTATGCCACTATGCCTCTTAAATCTCTCAAACCAACCTTTGTTGGCCTTAAATTCACTTGTATCACCACTAGTTGCAGGCATTTTTCTAATTAAATCCTCGTGCAACTTCCTAGCCTTTTCACTTATGATCGCTTGAGAGATGCTATCGCCTGCTATCTGTTTTTTGTTTATCCACACCAATAACAGTCTCTCAACATCTTCTATCACTTGCGATCTTTGTTTCGAAAGCACAGTTAAACCTTTGGCAAGAACAGCTTCCTTGATTGCCATTCTCTTGGACGCAATAGAAGCGATGGTTGATTAGGGTTTACTATACAACCTGGCCAGTTCGGAGACACGCACTCCACTTTCATACTTAGCAGTGATCACTTTCTTCATATTTATTTTTATTATCACACCGGCCGATTCCCACCCTTATTTCTGTAGGGTTGGCACTAGAAGCTTTCTTGGGGCCCATGGTCACTTATTTTTCAAGTGAAATCACTATTAAAAGGCTGTAATAATACGAAATGTTCCGATTATATGCTTGAATGTTACCGCGGAGGCTGGCTTGTGAACAGTGCCACTGGCAGAACAAGTGAGGCTGGCTCAGGCCGCATGGACGTGTCTCGGACGAATCGCGTTGAGCGAATTTTTTAGCACTATGCGATTCAAAATTTTAGCGATAAAATGTATCGCTATGCGGATTTAACACTATGCGATGCCAGCGTTATGCAGGGGTCCACTACATTCATTTGTATCTTTACATGTTTCAAGCTCATTATGCCAGTTGACGTTATTCATAGATATTATAAAGTTATTAACAGCTGTCTCGTTATGTAGTCTGAAGGGATTTGGGGCAGTGGAGAACAACATGAGGGCAGTGAGGGTGAGTGGGCAGTAGAGAACAACATGACATTCAATGGTGACAAATTCCAGCTGCTTAGGTATGGAAAAAATGAAGAACTCAAAAGGAACACTATATACAAAACTCAAGAGGGTCACCAAATAGAATGTAAGGCACACATAAAAGACCTGGGAATAATTATGTCAGCAGACCTTTCTTTTAAAGACTATAACAAAACAAAGATCACGACAGCCAGGAAGCTGATGGGGTGGGTATTGAGAACTTTCAGAACAAGGGAAATGATGCCGATGGTGACACTCTTCAAATCTCTAGTGTTCCCTCACTTAGAGTATTGCTCAGTGCTGACGGTCCCGTTCAAAGTAGGAGAAATATCGGAGCTGAAACAAATACAGAAATTGTTTATGGCTAACATTGAGCCAGTAAAGCACCTAAACTACTGGGAATGCCTGCAAGTCTTGAACATGTATTCATTGGAGTGGAGGAGAGAGAGATACATGCTAATATTATATATACCTGGAAAATACTCGAGGTCCTGGTCCCAAATCTACACACTGTCATAACAACATACTAGAGTGAGAGATACGGAAGTGTAAAATAAACCCAGTGAGGAACAGGGGTTCGGTGGGGACAATAAGGGAACACTGTATCAACATCCGGGGTCCCAGATTATTCAGCATCTTACCAGAAAATATCAAACATGACTGGAACAAGTGTAGAAGCCTTCAAGAGGAAACTGGACAAGTATCTTCACCAGATGCCAGATCAACCAGGCTGTGATGGATATGTGGGGCAGCGGGCCTCTAGCAGCAACAGCGTGGTTGACCAGGCAAGCACCATACGAGCCTGGCCCATGGCCGGGCTCGGAGAGTAGATAACTCTTGAAACTCTTCAAAGGTATATCAAAGGTAACTTTAGTAGTGTCTTGGGGCAATTTACCTAGGTTGGTTATGAGAAAGGAAGGGTAGTGGTCTGTGGTGTTGTCTGTCATTATGCCTGATTTTAAAGGGGATATGGTGTTAGTCCAGATGTGGTCTAATAAGGAGATACTAGTCTCAGAGAATCTTCTAGGTTTTGTTATTGTTGGTAGCAACAGGCAGTTGCTCATAGTGTTTGTGAATTCAGTTACTTGTGAGTCCTGGTCATGTAGTAGATTTATGTTGAAATCTCCTGTAAGCAGCAAGTGGTCTTTGTTCATATGTGCATCAGTTATTGTGTTTCCTAATTTTTCACTAAAATGGTAAATGTTTGACTGTGGCACTCTGTAGACGTTTATCACTGTGAGGGGTTTTTGCAGGTCTTTTGATTTAAATTTAGCTATAATATATTCTCCATGTTCATCCCTTGTGCAAGAATTATTGATACATTCTAGTTGATCTGAGTAGTATATAACTGTTCCACCCCCTTGCTGTTCAGTCCTACAGTTGTGTATGGCTGTGTAACCAGGAATGGCATAGACATCTGTAGTACCAGGCTTTAGCCAGGTTTCTGTGAGTGTGATTATTGACATACTGGTATGCAAGGAATTGAGTAATGCTGTGAGGTCATTGTAATGTTTGCTCGAAGATCTGAGTAGTGTCTTTGCTTGGTTTGCTGTAAAATAATTACAGTTGCTGTTCGATTCGTGTAAGTCATTAAATAAAAGGTTGATATCAGGATCAATGCTTATAATCATAAGATTGAGAATGACTCACTTTACAACTAGACTTTTGAATAAAGTATTATGTTAAACTTAATAATTATGATACTAAGCTAATTTATCTTACTAGCTAATGGATTGTTACAAGTAGTTTTAAAAAATATAGAGATACAGTTTGCTCTTAATATGGTACAGATTTGATGATTTAATATTGAACGTTTTAGTTTGAGTTTGATAACAGTTGTAGATTTAGAATAGAAGTTTACTGAACACAATAAAATTGTTTAGTACTGGAAATGATAATTAAATTAAAAATCTACAGATAATGGTAGTTAAAAAAAATATAAGAGAAAACAAAAATATTAGTTTATAATAGTAGATTATGATAAGTAATTATAAAATACAGGGATTATGCTAACTCTTATTATGGCACAAGTTTGATATAATATTGCACTAGTTATCATATCTATAATAATAATTTATAATAGTAAGCAAGTAATGGTAAATTAAAAATAAAAAATATAAATAAAAAGAGAGAATATAGGGATCATGGACAGTGATCATGTTTGACCAGGTGAAATAACCTACTTTCCCTCCCCCCACATCCCACCAATATGAAAAAGCTAGTGCCTCTCCATTCTAGATGGTTAGGAGCCTGTGATACTGTGAACGAGTGGCAACCACAAGGAGGCCTGTCCTAAGGGGTGGTGGCATTGCTGTGCTGTATTTACTAATAGCTTAATTGTAAGCTATTAGTAAATATAGCATCTAGCCTAGAGTTGTGGTTTAGACAGTAAAGTTAGGCTAGGAATATAGACATAAGTAGCAGAAGGTACTGTACATCTGTTGTCTCACCACTGTAGGTCTCAAGTTGGCAACATAATTGCCAGGCCAAGAAAGTTTTTGAATCTCAGAGCAGTCAGTCATGTTGTAGGGTTTGAGGAAGCCAGACATGTGCCACACAGTGTAACAAAACTAAATGATATTCCTGGCATTTAATTAATTACAAGACTTTTAAATTCTGTAGGGTGGACTCAGTGGCTCATTAAATCAGATGTAGTATTAATCCTGCCCAAGACTAAAATCTTTAAGACTGAGGAATTTCCACACCATAAGATTGCCCACCATACAAGTAAGCTCCCTTTCACTGTTGCATCACAGGTAAGCAACAATATCAGCAGTGTTAGAAAATTGTGGAATTATCTTAATCACTCAGATATTTGCTAATTGGCGAAGAGGGAGCCATGAGTCTGGTCTACGAACAGGCTATGTCAACGTAAATCATGTGTTATGGTATAATATGTAGCAGTCAACACTTACTGGTGTTACCCACTGATATTAAGTGTAAACTTATGTATATTTTTACTCAGCCCTGTTGGAAGGTCTTTCCACTTTTACTGTACAGTTTATGCTAAGCATGGGATGGCTGGGGTTTGGCATGGATATTTGATCAACATATTAACTAGTCATACCTTTCCCAACATATGAATATTGTACTGTTTGCTTTCCATTCAAATTGTAGTCTTAATATACAGTAGTATGTTGTTCGATGTAATTTATATGTTGGGAAGTTTGTATAATACTCTTCATTATTTACATGTTTTTAATTCACATTTGTTAATATAATATTTTCTTTCAGGCTTTCTTCACGTACCTGTATGGGCTGAGCATACTGTTCCTGCTGTACGTGTTCTGTTATCTGCTCTCAGACTCAGCTCGTGACAGGAAGCCTCAAAAACCTCAGGTCTTTATGGTGAGATTGTGTACCACAGGGCCATATATTTGGTTCATTTATCTTGAGTTGAAGCAATTTTAGTTTCCTTAGTTATTATGGTTTTAGGTTTCTTTTATGCCAGCCCTTTTTGTTATCTTCAAGAACATTTTATGGTTTAATATTTCTCATTTTACAAAGTCAATATTATTGTTCCATTATAATTATGATTAGTCTTAACTCATCAGTAAATTATTCCTGAAGGATTGTAGACTTGACACATTTTCTTCACTTTACCACAGACTACTTCAGCTTATTGCACCTTAGCTCTTCCACACATTGCCACTGTCTAGGTGTCTGCTCCTACAGTATCATATTCAACAGCTTAATCTAGTTGATAAAAAAGTTAATTGGCATATCGTCTGACATTCAAGATTTTATAATTTATTGCATTAATAGTTTTTTCAGTTTAAAGAAATACTGTTGAGTTGCATACAGGCAGTCTTCGCTTATGAATGTTCACTTAAAACCAATTTAATTTAATGAAGCTTTTTAATATCTAAGCTGCTAACAATTCTGATATGCATAAATAATACAAAAACAAAGAAGGATGGGTGGACAATTTATTTTTATTTTAAAAAAACTTTTGATAGTTCCCTAATTTACTTTGAATTATAAAAAATTGTATAAAAGCCAAGTTACTGGACTGGAAGATAATATATATATATATATATATATATATTAATATATATATATATATATATATATATATATATATTATATTATATATATATATATATATATATATATATATATATATATATATATATATATATATATATATATATATATATATATATATATATATATATATATATATATATATATATATATATTATATATATATATATATATATATATATATTTATATATATATATATATATATATATTATATATATATATATATATATATATATATATATATTTTTATTTATATATATTTATTTATTATATTTTAGTGGAAAATGATCAACATTGATTGCCACAGTAACCCAGCCTCATAATTATGGTACATCGTATACGTATTGTCTAACATAACCTCATGTCTGGTTAGCCGGACTTGAGTCCTAGAGATGGGAAGTACAGTGCCTGCACTCCAAAGGAAGGGTGGGGATATTTGCAGTTTGGAACTGTAGTGTCGGCACCCCTTTAGCAAGACAGTAATGGAGTGAGTAATGGTGAAAGTGTTTTTTTTTTTTTTTCTCTCTTTTGGCCACTCTGCCTCAATGGGAAATGGCTGGCGTATTAAAAAGAAAGCTCGTGTATTTCAGAATGATTAACACTGCTACAATTTCCTGACCAATCACTCAGTCACTGTTGTAAGGAATGAACTCCTCCTTCCTTAGGCATATTTAAGTTATTTTAGTATTAAGTTTGGGTAGGTTACATTATCTTCATATAGAGTAACCATAAATAACCAAAACGTAAATAATTGTAGTACTGGGAAACAAACTTTTCCCAGTGAAACTAAATTCTGTGCTTATTCTTTAATGGAGTGATAACATGGAATAAATTGATGGAAAGAAGCAAGTGAGAGTTCAGTAATACTGTAATACTATACACAGTAAAAGTAGAGTGAGTACATACTTTTCTTCAATCTGTACTTACAGTACATTATACTGTGTATAGTGTACTACTGAACTCATCTGTATACCTGTATATCTTACAAATTTTTACTTACATTCAGTACACACTAAGCTTTCTTTGGTGTTTTTCTTAATAGTTCTTGTACGAGTTATATTTCCTTTCCAATTTAGAATGCCTGGTCAGAGACTGGCTTACAAGGGAAATGATCACCAGCTCTACTAAGATAAAGTATATAGAGTATACAGGGAGCCTGATGTGTATCTAAAGACTATCCTCAAATTAGTTATAGTTACAACAATTCATTTGCCATTGCATTTGTATAGTACTTAATCCCTCTCTAACAAATCATTTATATAAATTAGAAGCATTATCGTCATCATCCATAATGAAAGTTTACGTTTCAGCTAATTAGGCCAAGTCAGTGTACCATGTATTTACCCTTCTGCCACTATCAGGAGTTAACACACTTTATGTACAGTACCTTCGAAATAACACCTGAACATGTTATATTTCCCCGCTATTAAATATTTACTGTTGGAGAAATAAGTAAAGTACTGACTATTAGGACCCCACTCAAGGCCTCTGCCAATTGCATTGCTGTCATTGTTGTTGCATCACCTATAAAGAATTGGCCATCCATGCTTGTGAAAACAAAAACAGCCAAACAATAGAATGTGGTCAAAGTAAATAAACACAGATATACGATGAGTATAAAGACTGAGAATAATAGATTGACAAATGCTCGAAGATGAAGGCTACTGTCACAAGGTCAGACGACATAGCCACAAAATTAGAGTGCAACCAGTTAAGATGAAGGAACAATCTGTTGAAGTTACAGTGAGTTGAATATAATGAAAGGCATTGTAGAAGTCAATTTTGGTAATCCATCTGGAAATGGATTCCATATTCAGTGGTCTCAGTGGCGCATAAAAATTCAAGGCATTCCAGTCCAGGATGAGATGTGAATTTCCCTGCAATCTCACTCACCATGATGCTCCTGGAGAAGAAATGTGGAGTTTCACCAGATACATATTCCACTTTGCTGGCCCAAAGAAGGTCCCTGACAGCTAGAAACAGGCTTGCTAAGGAAGTTGCTGAGGAAATAATGCTGGGGAGGGCTCAAGGGATGGGTGGGGAATATACCTGTCCTAATTAATGGAGAGAGGTATGGCATTGTCTCAGGGCTCCCCTTATATCCATGTAGAACAAGCTGGCCCCCCACAGGTGGAAAACAACCTTTGATCTGATGCAGGGATGCCCCAGGAAAGGACCCACTGAGAAGAGTCCCATCCAGCATAGGACCAAGAAAAGATAAATGAGCAGAGATGCAGCAGGCACTGAAACACACGATGTCCCTAGGCACCAGGCATGGTAAATTTGCCAGCATTCATTAAACTAAGTACCAAATTTGCAACCCTTTGTCTGACAGTAGATTTGCTGGCTGCAGTACAAACCATAAAGGAAACAAATAAACAACTGTTACCTCACTTAGAAAGAGCAGGGAGTTTGGAGATGCAGCATGAGTCCATTGGCCCTGAGCCATACGTAAAAGAGAGAGGGAAACCTCAAAGGAAAAGAGGTTTGGGCCTGTCTCCTCTTAATGGGTGCTGGACCAAGGAACAGAGGTGAAAGCTGTGTGAGATCCACAGCACAAGAAGAGGTGTGGTCTACCATAACTGGACTCATGAATAAAGGCCCATCCCATGCTAAGCAAACATAGGAAGTCCACAAGAGAATGAGTCAGCCCAACTTGATAACAGACAAGCCTGGTCTGGTAGTCAGAATAAGCATCATAAATCCTGTGCGTCAACAAAGCGAATTGCCATCCTTCATAGAAAATATCAAAGAATAATAGAAACTGCCTCAAATCTTCAAAACAGCCAGAAGAACCCAGTGGATCTTACGAAATGAAATGTTGGCAGAGGAAGCGTCCTTAGTGAGAGTGTGGTGTTTATCCCAAGGGGCAGGGTTAGTAACCGGGGTTCAGAGCATTATGGGACCCCAGATGACACTGTCAACTAGCAAACAGCACTTGGTGATTGCAGGTGAAGGAGGTCAATTACTGGGCACACATACAGAGGTGAATATCAGTATAATTGAAGTGTGACATTCCAGGCAGGACAATGTATGTCAGTAATGTATGTCAGTAGTGTATGTCTGTATTGTGTGTCCATAGTGTATGTCCATAGTGTATGTCCATAATGTTTGTCCATAATGTTTGTAATGTATGTCCATTATGTATGTCTATTATGTATGTATGTATGTATGTATACATACATACATACATACATACATACACAGTGGTACCTCGAGTTATGAACTTAATTCATTTCAGAAGGCTGTTCGAGTGCTGATACCGAACGAATTTGTTCCCATAAGGAATAATGTAAATTAGATTAGTCCGTTTCAGACCCCCATAAATACACTTACAAAAGCACTTACAAAAATACACTTACATAATTGTTCGAGTTGGGAGCTGTTCGAAACTTGAGGTACCACTGTGTGTATATATATGTCGTGCCGAATAGGCAGAACTTGCGATCTTGGCTTAAATAGCAATGCTCATCTTGCCATATAGGACAAGTGAAAATTTGTGTATGCAATAATTTCACCAAAATCATTCTGAACCTAACGAAAAAAATATATTTCACTGTGTTTGTTTAGTATTAAATTATTGTAAACAAATCTAAAATATATTTAGTTGGGTTAGGTTAAAATAAATTGTGCTTGTTATAATAAGGTTAGGTAAGTTTTCTAAATTTCCTTTTGGTGCAAAATTAAAATTTTTACATCAACATTAATGAAAAAAATATATCTTTAAACGTATAAGAGAAAATTTTAGAAAGGACTTAATTTTAAACGAGTTCTTGCTAATTGACCAGTTTTACATATTCGGCATGACATATGTATATATATACAGTGGACCCTCGAGTTTCGGCGGCATCGATTGTCGTGAAATCCGATTTTCGGCAAGTTTTTTCGGCAAAATTTTGCCTCGCAGTTCGTGATTAAACTCATGATTCGGCGACCGTCTGGTACCCGTCTGCCCGTCACCGCTCACACAAAGCCAGTCTCCCACGCCATTCACGCTCAGTGTGCCATTGTTTACCAACATGTGACCATCACCCCGCGGGTTCATACATAATAATCCATTGTTTTTTGTTATTGCAACTGCTAAATAAGTCACCATGGGCCCAAGGAAAGCTAGTGCAAGCCCTGTGGTAAAGAAAGTGAGGAACACGATCGAATTCAAGAAGGAAATCATTGAAAAATATGAGAGTGGAGTGTGTGTTACAGAGCTTGCCAGGATGTATGGCAAACCCCATTCAACCATCTCTTCGATCGTGGCGAAAGGAAAGGAAATAAAGTGCGCTGTTGTTGCAAAAGGGGTAAA